AGAATAGCATAAGATTGGAATCAATGAAAAACCAGGAGATAGCGCAAATGACAAACACTTGTTCACAGAAGTAATGGCAGAAAACTACCCAAACAGGGAAAAAGAATTTGACATACAGATAAGGGAGACATACAGAACTCCAATTAGCCATGATAAAAAAAAAACCTCTTCCCCAAGGTATATAATAGTCAAGATTCCAGAAATTCAACACAAGAACAGAATATTAAAAGCTATTAAAGAAAAGAAACAAATCACATACAAAGGAAAGCCCACTGGAATTACAGCAGACTTCTCAACACAAACCCTCAAGTCAAGGAGAGCTTGGAGTAAAGTATTTCAAGCCCTAGAGGAATACAACCTCCAACCCAGATTGATATATCCCACAAAACTATCTTTCAAAATTTATGGAGAAATAAGATACTTCCAAGAAAAAGAACACTGGAAGAAATTCATGACTACCAAACCAGCACTCCAAAGTGTTCTGAAGGATATTCTACAGAGAGATAACAAGGATTACAACTCCATGAACTCCAATAGAATGAATCCACCCAGCAAGGCAAGAAATTAAACAGAAGAGGAAAGGAGGGAGCCAACAACACGAAACTATGACAGGTATAAGTCAATGCATATCAGTTAAAACCACTAATGTTAATGGTCTAAATTCACCAATCAAAAGAAACAGACTGGTAGAATGGATCAAGAAGCAAAATCCAACAATATGCTGCATACAAGAAACACACAATTAAAAAAGAAATTCATAGACTTAAAGCCAAACAATGGAAAACAATACTCCATGTGACAGGAACCCAGAAAAAAGCAGGGGTAGCTCTTCTATTTGCAGACAAATTAGATTTCAAGCCAAGACTGATGAAAGAGACGAAGGTCACTACATACTTGTAAAGGGAAAAATCCAAGAAGATGAGATAACAATTATAAATATATATGCCCCAAATACCAGCACACTCACTATATAAAAATATTAATGGACATGAAAAATGAAATATGCATTAATACAGTTGTAATGGGAGACCTCAATACCCCACTGTCACAAATAGGTCAAGTAGCCAAAAAAGACCCAACAATGAAATATTAGAACTGAACCAAACTTTTGAACAAATTTACTTATTAGATGTCTACAGTGTTCCACCCCACAACATCAGAATACACATTTTTCTCAGCTGCACACGGGATGTACTCCAAAACAGACCACATACTAGTTCATAGAACATGCTTAAGGAAATGAAAAGGAATTGAAATTATCCCATACATATTATCAGACCACAGTGCAATGAAACTGGAAATCAATGGGAAAAGAAATCACAAGAACTTCATTAAAAACATGAAAATTAAATAACACCCTACTGAACAACCAGTGGGTCACAGATGAAATTAAAAAGAAATCAGACAGTTTCTACAATTAAATGATAGTTCCAATACAACATACCAGAACTTATGGGATGCAATGAAAGCAGTCCTACAAGGGAAATTTATAATGGTGAATACCCATGTCAGGAAAAGAGTGGGCTCAAATAAACAATCTAATGTTGAACCTCACACTTCTAGAAAAAGAAGAGCAAGTCAACCTCAAAACTCATATGAGGGAGGAAATTTTAAAAATCAGAGCAGAAATTAATGCAATAGAGACTAAAAAAACCCCCCACAAAGAATCAATGAAGAACTTGTTCTTTGAAAGATTAAATTGACAAACACTTAGCCAACCTTATTTAAAAAAACCCTCAACTCCATGCAATTAGGAATGGAAAGGGTGAAATAACAACAGACCTTGCAGAAATCCAGATCATCAATACCTACCCTACTTCAAGAACCTGTATTCTAAGATGGAAAACACAGAAGGAATGGACAGACTCCTAGATATATATGAATTACCAAAACTGAATCAAGAAGATATAAGAATTCTAAATAAACCAATATCAGCAATAAAATTGAAGATGTAATTAAAAACCTACCAACAATGAAAAGCCCAGGCCCTGACAGATTCACTGCTAAACTCTACAAGAAATTTAGAGACGACCTAATGTGCTACTACTCAAACTCTTTAAGGAAATTGAAAGGGAAGCAATACTCCCAAATTCATTCCAGGAAGCAAGCATTACCCTGATACCAAAACCAGAGAAAGAGCCAACCAAAAAGGAGGTACAGGCCAATCTCCCTAATGAACAGAGATGCAAAAATCCTCAAGATACTGGCAAACAGAGTGCAGCAAATCATCAAGAAGATTATACATCATGACCAAGTAGGATTCATCCCAGGGATGGAAGGATGGTTCAACATATGCAAACAAATAAAGGCAATACAGGATACTGACAGAGCCAAGGACAAAAACCATATCCTCTCAATAGATGCAGAAAAAGCATCTCATAGAATAGGTAGAACTCTTGAAGACATTGGTGTAGGCAAAAACTTCAGGAATAAAACCGATTACATGGGAAATATCACAAAGAATCAATAACTGGCATCTCATCTTATTAAAAAGCTTTTGGAGAGCAAAAGAAACCACCAACAGAGTGAAGAGACAACCCCGAGTGTCAGAAAAAATTTTTGCCAGCTGTTCCTCACAGGACTAGTATCTAAAATAATTAGAAAAAATTCAAAAAAATCAGAGCGCCCCCCCAAATTTAAAGACCCAATCAAAAAATGGGCATCTGAAATGAATAGACACTTCTCAGATGAAGGAGAAATGGCAAATAAATATATGAAAACAGGTTCAACATCACTGGTCATTTGGCAGATCCAAATTAAAACGTGAGATTCCATCTCTTTCCAGAAAGAGTGGGTGTTATCAAGAAATCAACCAATAATAAATACTGGCAGGGACGTGGGGGGAAAGGAACCCTTCTCTACTGTTATGAGAGTGTAGACTGGTACAATCACTGTGGAATCAGTGTAGAGATTCCATTTGATCCAGCTATTCCCCTTGTGGTATCTTCCCAAAAGAAAAGCATCATACCACAGCAATATGCACACCCATGTTTATAGTGGCAGTTTGTAATAGTTAAATCTTGTAAACAGCCCAAATGCCCATCATCCGATGAATGGATAAAGGTTTTTTTTTTAACTTTTTAAAATAAATACAATGGAGTACTACTTTGCTGTAAAGGATAAGCTTGAGATATTTCTAGCTAAGTGGATGCACTTGAGAACACAATCTTAAGTGAGAAAAATCGGACATACGTTTAAGTACCACATTGTTTCTCTGGTGTGAGAAACCTAAAGTGGAAAAAAAGGACCAAAATGTAAAATAGATACTGGGAAACAGGAAGAAAATGTTCAAGTGTGAAAGGGAACAAGGGGAGAGGGAGAAAGGAAAGAAGGTACAAGAAAAAAAAGGGAAAAATGGAAACAAAGCTTTTGTAAATAAGGAGGGGAAGAGGGGTCAGAGGAAAGAGGGGAATGGGGAAAAAAGCAGCAGCAAGATATATTATGGACAGGTACAGATTCCCTATGACAAATGTTATCATTATGTATATCTAAAATGTACCAATACATGTTTTGCTTAAAAAACGGTAACACTCCACGGTGATATAATTCAGAATTTTTGTAGTTGTTGAAAATTATACCTTAAATATTTAAATAAGATTAAGTTATGCAAAACAAAAATTTAATCTTTCTTAAGCCAAAGCCATTCTAGAACACTCACGCATTCTCAAACATTCAAGAAGGAACATTTAAGAGTATCATTGTAAAGACCCAATCCCTTAATAGTTATTTGAAATCTGGTAATGATAGGTGGGAAACACGTTAATTCAACAATCATTTCTTGCCTTCACTGATTTTCCCTTAAGGGTACAGCACAGAGATGAGCAGAAAAGGGGCAGATAAAGCCATGTGGCCTTCTACACACAGACACTGCATTCCTTGATACTAAAACATGGTGCAGCAGAACATCCCTCCACTGAGGTAGGTATCCAGTTACGATAAAAGGTGAAAGTTGGGCCAGGCATGGTGGTACACAGCTGCAATCCCAGCATTCTGGGAAGCAGGCAGGAGGATCGTTAAGTCTGAGCCCTGCTTGAGCAACTTAACACAGGGAGACTGTCTCAAAAATGAAAGAGCTGGGACCCTAGCCTACTGTGAGGGGGGAAAAAAGCAGAAGTTAGGGTGAGTTACACGTGACCCGTTTTCCTAAGGGAAAGCAGTTTATGTGCTGCCATAGGCCAGCTCTCAAAGTACAGTGAGTTGCCCAAACTCGACAGCTGAGTCCTTCCTGTATTATCTTCTTATACATGACGGAATCTATAAATGTCTAAATTAAAAATGAAACATTTTGGCTTCTTTTTGTTTCTTGTAGTCAGAATGTACTTTTATTTTGTGAAAGCACACAAAAAGGAAAATAAATTCTGCTTAAGAGTTCTGAATCAGATCATCCTTTTTAGGGGAATCCATATTAGTTGGCAGTTATTAGTCTTTTGATAGCGAGGGAACAATATAAAATTATATATTAATAT